AACAGCATTAGTCCAGTTTATGATACAACAAGAATAGAAAATCGTGTAATTTCATATATTTGTTGCCCCAGCAAACACTTACAAAGACCCTAACTGTGTGTCATGCTTTCCATTTTAGGGAAAAAGCCAGTAGGGCTTACAGAGGCAAAGTAAATAACAGAACCAGGATCTTTACCAGGTTTTTCTGACACTAAATCTATTGCTCATCCGTTAAATCAGAGTTATTTGTATGCTCTGTAATAGTGCTTCACATGTTAAATCTGAACTTCCCCAGAACAGGAACATACTTTGTCTCTGGGTCCCCAGTGCCTCTTACAGAGCCGAGATCTTGATATGCAGTCAGGGGTTGTGAGATGAATGGGTTCATGAATGATTGAATGAAAAGACAAGTACTACCTTTCATGCTTTTAAAAAGCTTCCTTTACCCAGCTGAGAGGTTTCTTTCCATGGAAGAGATATTCTCCCCCAAATAAACCTCAAGTGTGTGTCAATATCGGAATGCAAATGGATCAAAGCCCTTTTTTAAAAAAAAATTCCTACTCTTCCCACAAAGTGAAAAAAGTTCTTTTGTTACCTAAAATATCTGCGCCAGATTGTACAATGCTGTCTCTTAACGCAAATGCTTATTATTGTGGCTAATTTGGTCACATGTGTTTGAGGGAGAACAATGCCTCAGAAATTTTTTAAAAGCAAAACAGCAATCTGAAGCATTTGTTGTAATGAGATGTAAATTGCCAACATCAGTAGTGGAGCCGACTAAAATTTGCAATGAAGTGATTTTCCCCCCTCTTAAATTAAAAGCACTAGGGGCCCTCCCTGCTCTCCCCGAAGAAAACACATGCTTTTTTGTTCCTCTTCTTTCCGATCCTGTAATGCTAAACATTGCGCTCTATTGATTGATTCATTCCTTCATTCATCTGCCATTTTGCCCACTTCTGTCTGTTTTGTGCCTCAGTGCTAGGCCCTTCCAGAGGCATCAGCAGCCTGCATGGTGGCTTTTGGTAACCCCCATTTTGCAGGTAGGAAAGCTGAGTTGCAGAGAGGGTAAGATGACCTGACTTTAAAGTCATGAGCTGGGATTCAAACCCAGGTCTCCTGAAAAGTCCCTTTTAAGATGTGCCTTTGGCTGGCTTTTCAAGCTGACCTTCTGTAGACAATATCCTGGAAGGAGGAGGCTGTTGCGGAGAGCTTTTGCCAGGTGTTAAGCAAATGGTGCTGACTGAGAAGTGTAGAAAATAGTTTTTCTTGAACGCCAAGATCTCAGTATAGTAGCTTCTGTATTTGACAGAAGTTTATCAGTCCCATAGGAGACCATCGTGAGCCTTGAGGGGACCATCGTGAGCCTTGAGGAGAGTGGGTGGGCTGTGGAGTACAAGGACCTGCTCTGTGCTGGGCCTGTGCTAAGCACTAGGGGCAAAAGCAGAACAGCAGGGCCTCTGTTTCACAGAACCTATGGTTTAGTAGAGACGAACTTAAGCGCACAAGTGTGACTTGTGTGGGAGTGGGTGGAGAGGGAGTGAACGACTATTTACCAAGCACCCACTCTGTACCAGACTCTGAAATAATTGTTCCATATAAATATATGAATATATATATACACACACATATATATATAGTTATCTGATTTAATCCTCAGTCTTGCCAAGTCACTGTTATCTTTCCTTCTTTCAGGTGAGACAACAAGATCAGAGAGGTTAAGCCATTATATTTATGTGTACATTATCTCTTGAGGATAGAATGTGAATCAAGCACTGTGCCAGGTGAGCCCTGGTCTCTGACATAAAAAGACACAGTCCTTGGCTGCCCTCAAGCCTCCTCTCTGACATAAAAAGACACTATTTTTGGCTGCCCCCTCCTCCTTTTTTAGGGGAGACAGACATAGAGATGAATGAGCACATCTGATTACTATGGTAGAGTGGGGGCAGAGGGGTGGGGAGAGTCCAAAGGAAGGTGGAGCTCTACTACCCAAGGAAGATCACAAGTCAGCTAAGCAGTAAGTGGAAAACCCTGTACTTAAACCCAGTATTTGGAGCTCTGTCTCCAAATCCCAAGCCAAGGGCTAGAGAGAATTATTTACTAGTCTTTGAGGGGAGAGGGCAGCCTCATTGAAGAGATGGCATTTGAGTCAGGCCTTGCATCACTGGTGGAGCTTGTGTAGGTGGACATCTGTAGGGGCAGAATGTTCTGGACAAAAGGAATGGCACAAGCAAAGACTAGGAGGCAGGAAAGAATGGTATATGTGTGGAGAGGATTAGGCCAGCCACTTTGCCTGGAATGGAATCTGACTGTGGGAGGGGACCAACAGGATGGAGCCGGAGAGGTGACTCTCTCAACCCCTGCTCCCTCTGATGTCCCTTAGCTGTCCCTCTGTAGACAGTGTGATAGCAGAGCCCTTTGTCTGGAACTGTGCCATCTGAATTGTCCATTCTAACTAGATGCTTCTGATTTCTAATTAACAGCCCTGATTTCTACTTCTCGGACTCCAAGAAAGGTTACAGACATTCAGAACAGCTTCCCACCTGCCCATGCCTCTACCCTCAAGCACCTCTGCTCAGCAGCAGGACTGTACTTCAGAATCTTTGTCACAGCCCATTAAAGTCCCTCTCTTCCTCCCCTCTCATTTACTAAGAGCCTGTCATGTACCAGCACTTCCCTAGGCTCCAAGATGCTAAAGGGAGTAAAGCTTTGCTATTGAAGAGCTTTATAGTCTAATGTTGAAAACCGACAGGCAGACGATTGCAAACATAATTTGCTAAAAGTAGTCACAATGTAGAGACCCCCCTACCTGGGAGTGATGACAGTCAAGCCTCACAAAGGAGACACCTGAGCTATGTCCTAAAGTCTAACTGGGCGCTTGGCAGACAGATGAGGTAGTGTTCAAGGCCAAGACAACAGCACAGACGCCTGGAACAACATAATATTTGGGGTACCTGAGCAGAGGTGAATATTGGTGGGGGAGGTGAGAAATGACCCTAGAGGTAAGGAGGCTGGTTGTTCTGGGCCTTATGGAGGCCATGGTGTGGGACTTAATTTTGAGGGTAGTGGGCAGCCTAAGCAAGGAAAGACAGGGTCATGTGGAAGATCCCTTTGATGGCCTTTATAGAGATGGATGGGAGAGAATCAGCTGAAGTCACGGCTATACTGGATTCATTCTGTTGTCCAGCCTCTCATGGAAGGAAAAGGAGGCTTTAGAGGAAGGGCACGTTCTTGCTAAAGATGACTGTGAGTGCGTGGCTTTCATGGACCTCCTCTTTTCAGCCTATTATTTTTTTTCTGTTGGCTGAAGGTCAGACCTGGAAGAGATTTCACACACCAACTCAGCCATGTGCTTTAGGGGAAATTTAAGTAATTACCTCTTCCCAGATCTGAGAAAAGATCAAATGTCCCACTTGAATTTGTTTGTGTCTCAAAAATTTAACCTGTGATCCCACCCAGAGAGAAGAAACTTTGGTATTTGCTTCTGAAACTTTAGAATTACTCATTCATTGTCGTCATTGTTTTATTTACTTAGCACACATTTAGGGAGTGCCTACTCAGCGCTAGGTGCTGGGGACAAAGGAAAGAATAAGACCTAGGCCCAGCCCTTGAATAGGTCCTGCACATCTTATTGGGAGGTGCTGTCAGAACGATTACGATGCTATTGGTCCTTTGCTCTGCCAACTTCTGTATCTGTAATTTACTCACCTGTGGTCACACAATTAAAATATAGCATAGCCAGGAATGGGACCTGAAATCTCTACCAGAAGGAGTCAAGCTCTTTTATTTGCACTGTTCTGCTCCCCAGTCATCTTGCATTCAGGTTTGTGCAAGTTTCATTTGAAATCTTAGGGTACTACAGAGATTTCATCTTTCAGTTAGCAGCTGCCAGCAATTCAGGATTGATATTCTCTCCTGGGAAGCTGTATCATGAGGAATTTTAGTAACAAATTCACCAGGACCTTCACTGCCACCAACCAAAGTCTAGGATGTGTCAACTGAACCCAGAGTTGCAAGCAGATTGTTACAAAGGGCTTTAATATATAAAGAGCTTTGTACCCAGTTTTCCACATGGCTAGGATAAGAGAAGGCTGGTCTGTGAGTTCATCTGTTATCTAAGTTAACATGCACGGCCAGAGGGAGCTGCTGTGGCAGCAGCCAAATCTCTGATCTCAGTCAACTCCTGAAATGTTTGCATGGGGAGAATTTCCAGCATGTTAAATTATGTTGGCCTTTGAAGTTGTTCTCCCACAAAAGTTAATCAAGTCATTTGGCCTTATTTACCCATTTTCATCCTGTTTCTCTGCCCTTTAGTAATCAACACACAATAGGTGATTTTTAAAAACAGTCCATTTTTAAAAGCTAATGGAGAAAAAATAACCCCTTTAGAAACTATCACCATTTATCTAGCTTCCTTTCGCTGTTTAAACTGCATGTAATTTGTGTTGATTGCATTAAAATAAAAATCAGAGTAGCTGCTGGATCAGGCAATCAGGGGCTTAATGTGTATTGTGTTTTAATTTCTTGGTTCAAATGCTCCTGTCTAGATACTAGGTCTTGGGGAGGGGGAGGCCTTCACATTTTTGCCCACACTTTCCTAAGCTCCCTTCTTCTGTTACGGCCTTCTCCACTGTAAGATACTGAGGTGAGGATTTTGGCAAAGACATGATTTGCATATTCCAGTAATTGCCACCCCTTCTTCTCCAACCCAGCCTTTAACAGAACCTCTTTCCTGTGCAGGAAGTTGAATCCCTGCCTTTCCATTTAGACAATGACAGCCTGGAAGAGTGCTTCTCATTCAAACTTGATTAGAGTCTAGTCCACTCTTGTCTTCCAGTTTTCCACCTTTTCCCTTGTGACATTCATGCCTCATTATTTTCAAGTCTGGGTTTAAGTGTAGTTCAATGGACAAAAATAAGCTAGGATATTTTTGTGCCACTGTGTGCTGATAGATGCCTAGTTAAAAATATTTGCCTTTTATTTTCCTTGGAGTTCTAGACAGATTTCTTTTCTTAACTGCCTAGGTCCCGCCATTGATCTGGAAAAAGTAAAGTCAGAATGTCTCGAGCCCGAGCCGGAGTTACGGAGCACTTTCAGTGAGGAAGCAAATACGTCGTCCTATTACCCCGCTCCTGCGCCTGTCATGGACAAGTATATCCTAGACAATGGCAAGGTAGTGTTTTAAGCTCAATATCCATTCCCTGCAAGTGTTTGTTAGTCAGAGTAAAGGTGGAGAGTATGGTGGGAGCTTTCCAAATCACAGCTTGACTGGTTGGCCTCCTGGCCTAGCCCTGAATGACTGTTTCTGGAATTTGTATATTATAAGTAGCGTAGCTTTGCTGGGGCGTTTTCTCTTCCTTCTTCCTTTTTTTTCTTTGTTTTTTTTTTAAATATTGAGCCAAAGCAACTATAAAAGTAAATTGACATTTTAAAATAGCTTACTAGTGAGAAAGATATTTCTTAACTCCCATGAGAGTTTGATGAAACTTGTCCCACCTTCCTATGAAACCAGATGCCTAAAATTTATAAGGTGAGCTGGAAATGAAGTATCTGATTTACAGATAACAACTCAATTTGTATTCATTCACCACTTAGAAAGTATCTGTATGTTCTAAACCCTGTGCTAGATAACAGGAATACAGGGATGAATAAGACATACTCCCTTATCCCTAAGCCTCCTTCAAGCTGTGTATGCAGCAGTGGTTAGCCCACAGTCCTAGGACCACAGAGAACTCCTCAGAGTTATTTATATGACCTTGAAAACAAATCATGAACAAAAACTTAAGCACTATTAGTAATGGAATCGCTTTTGAAAAATCTTAAAGCCACATGATGATATATACCAGCAGGGCAGGGGAGGAAACTTTTCTGACATTCTTCTAACATTCAGTTGAACTGATCTTTAAAGAAGTATATCAGAGCCCTTTGTGTAGGCACTGGTGAAATTCAGCTTTAGCGTTTTGTTCTCTGCCACTGTGGCATGCATTACAGACATCGCCCCTCATGCTCCTTAACGCGTCATGTGTTGGTTCATTTTTCTTGCCTCATGCTTCAAAAGGTCTCTGTTTATTTAGTATCATTCTCTGGTAGGTTGATGAGAAAGAAAAATTTGTTTTATTTGGGTTTGTCCAGATATGTCTCTGCAACTGGCCAACCTGAGCCAAAGCAAATATTGTCAAGCTGAGGAAATGAAACGTATTAGTTTTCAGGGCTCTCTTGGATGTGCTGTCATTCCCTGCATCTCCCACTGCGCGCTTCCTCCCCTGCAGAGGTCCATTCTGCCTTGCCTTGCTCCCTTCAACAGGCTTGAAACATCAGCTTTGCAGAGGAGAGGTGGCATGACAGGTTGGAAGTCGGCAGCCTGGAGCCTGAGTTCTTAGTATAGCTCTACATCTATCCTACCTGTGTGACCTTGCGAAGGTCCTTCACTTCTCTGGGTCTCAGCATCCTTATCTGTGAAAGATGGGATCGGATTGATGCTCTCCAAAGGCCTTTCTGATTCAAACTGTGTATCTAAGTTTGGTGAACCTTCCCCAGTCAAAGATAAAAGTTAGGACTATACTATGTTTGTTGATTTCTTTTTAGTCATGAACACATTGTGGAGTGACTAGAGAGTTTTTCTTAAAGTAGCTTCCAAGAGAAATCTATTTCTCCCTTGCCTTGAAGGCTGATGGATAGTTTCAGAGCAGTATAGGGGGCCTCTTTTGCAAAGATAGCATTCTTCCCCCAGAAAACGAGTCTCTCAAACCTCATTTAATATTTTAACACATGAGTTGAACAGCAAATCTTGAAAATGCCTATTTTGTTTTTTCATTGGTTTTTGCCAGCGTGTTGCTATAAGACTAACCTGGTTTTTGTTTGCACCTAATTGGTAGTCAGGCAGAGAGAGTTTTAAATGCAGAGGAAAGGAAGTGGACACACTGGAAATGATGGCAGCTTCCCAGAAAAGCATCTCCCACATCCCCCAAGTAGCCCTCATTGTTCTTGGCTCTGCTGTCTTCTCTAACCCTTCCTTCTGTCTGCACGATCAGAGGCCTTAATCTCTGCAAGGCTTAGAGCACTGGAATGGGATACATTTCCTAGTAGGAAATGATTTTTGTCCTATAAAACTTTTCACATAAATATATTCTGATCAAGTTCCCTCCTACCAGATGCCATATTTTTAATAACCTCCTTTGACACATAACACTAAAACTTTGGTCGAATAGTATACTGTGGTTTACATGAATCGGGCTTGCCACACAAATTTCTGATTTGGGTAAAGTGCATTGTGTTTCTTTGTCTAAAATGTTTTATTTCAAAAACTCATTGAATCATAAAGCTGCAAAGACCATTAAATTTTAAATAACCTAATTTATATGTAGTGTGGATAGGGAAACATATCCAGAGAAGGGACTCCTCTACAATTAAATAACAGGTTAGAGGCAGGCAGGAACTGAAAGCCAGACCTCCTGGTTCCCAGGCCAGTGTTCTCACCAGTCTGTTCTGCTACATCCCTGACAGCTGACCATTGCTCCAGGTGACCTTGAGCCTTGCTAACCTCAGGGGCCCTTGTCTTAGATGCCCCAGTATATACCTGTGATTGGTCATAGTGAAGCCCGTTTCTTTCTGTGCTCTAAAGTTGGCCTTGTACTTGAGTGAATGTCAGAAAATACTTTCATCTCCAAGGAACAGCAGCTCATCAGAAGTGAAAAACAGTTCCATAAAGACATTAAATATGCCCATGACTTTTTACTGCTTTGTGTACAGACTAGCCCGTATCACTTTGTAGGGGACAGAAGAGGCAAAGCCTTGACCCTCCCCACTGACATGTACTGTGAAGGACTGAATCAGGTGGCAAAGGCTCTAAGTGGGCTAGAAATTCAGAAAGGATAGAACTTAGCCCTGCGGTAACTAAGGAGTGTTTCCTGAATTTTAGACTGGGGCTTGAAAGATTAGCAGGCTTAAGAAAACGTAGGGAAAACATTCATTCCTGGGCAAGAGAATGGCAGGAGCAGAAACCTGGGGAGGGGAAAGGGGGTAAAGGATGTAACGGTTGCTGTCCTCCTGACGCTTTACATATCTTTTCTCATTTCACCCTCTCAGCAACTCTGAGGTAGCAATGATCTGCTGACTGTATAGATGAGAAAAGTAAGGCTCAGAAAAGTAAAGTGGCCCAAGTTAACCAGCAAGCAGGTAGAAGAGCTGAGATTTACACCCAGGCTGGCCACTCCAGCACCCATCCTCTTGATGTTACAGCACACTGGAAGTAGCAGGAAGTGAACAAGTTCAGGAATTTTGTAGTATAGATGGACTATATAGATGAATATAGTAGGGGAATGAAGTAGTAGTAAACAGAATGGATTCTAATGGGCCTTCAAAGCCAGACTAAGGACGTTGGATTAAATATGATAGGAAACAGGGAGCCATTCAAAATTCCAGAGGATTTACATAAAAACACAGTTGAAAGACCACAGAAGTCATCTAGTCAAACAAGGAAGGAGATGTTTTAGGGAACTTGATCTGTCGTGATTATAGGATGGGCAGGTTGAAGGGGGCAAGGACTGGAGGCAAAGGCCAATCCGTGGCTGTTTTCCTGGTTTCCCTGTCTGCAGTGGTGAACTGCACTGGAAGGTGGTGTGGGAAATAGCCAGGCAGATACAGATAAAACTCAAAAGGAAAACTAACTGAACATTGATGTGTTAGGTCTGCTGTCTGATCTATATCAGCACCACCTTGGTGGCAGCAAGGAAGACAAGGAGAGCAGAGGCTTCAGGATTTGGGTTTGAATCTTGATTCCAAAATTGACTGTGTACCTTAGGAAAAGTTACATAGTCCCTCTGAATCTCTGTTTACGTCTGTAAAATGGGAAAATAATTTCTACCTATTTTCATCTCTTAAGGTCATTATGAAGAATAAGTAAATTGAATGTACAATACCTGGTTCATTATAAGTACTTAAAAATACTAGTACCCCTTTTCTCTTGTAGAACTTTGGCTAAAAGGACTTTCATCTCCCTTTCAAGAATAACAAATTAAAAGATCACAGGAAAGCAAGGCCCAGAGGGTCGGGGTGGGATAGGGGGGAAGCAGAGATTTTTGAAAAATCTGAAGTTGGCATCCATCTCTATGATTTTCTGATTCAGAATTTAATGTAATTCAAAGTTCCTTGTTTTTCTCCTGTCTCAGGAAGCTTGTGTGGGTGGCTTCAAGTGTCATCAAGGGAAGTGATGCAGGGTCCAGCAGGGAGCAGCAGGGAACTTGTCCTCAGCATGCCCAGTCTGGCACACAGACTGCCCACCTGCAGTTCGAACTGCGGAGGAAAGGCCACACTTGACCTTGGTGTCCGTGTTGCCTAGCCAGCAGCCAGGTAGCACATCTCGCTCCAAGGCTGCTTATCTTCCCTGAGCGGATGAACAGCTTTGCAGCACTGAAGTTTACAGCACAGAGAGGCCAGGTGGATCTAGTTATCTGATTGCCTGCAGCAGTCTGATCTTTTGAGCAAAAGGAGGTGAAGTCAGACGTGCAGGTAGATTGTTGACTTACATTCATGGGTGGGTTGTGTTGCTATTTTTTTTTTTTCTTCTTGATGGTTGGAAAATTTCAGTAATTGGTAAAGGAAGAAGCTTTGCTGGCTGACCTGACTGCCTAACTATGTGTACTCGCCTTCCTTCCCAAGCCAAGCTCCAGTAGTAGAAAGATCTTTAATAGTTTTTTGAACAATTGGTCTTGCTGGTCTACCATTAGTTGGGTATGCATCCAGTCTCTTAGAGCAGGACCTCTCCACAGATGTCTCTGACCATGTGACATTGGCAGCCTGCAGGCCTTTCTGAAAACAAGGACCTTTGGCAGATCCTTCTCATGCCCCTTAGAAAGTTTAGCTCGTTAGCAGCTGCCGCCCAGTGTCCCGACAGAGGCCATTTCCTCCCTTCACAGACACAGCAGAAGCACAACGTAAATGGCAATGTCAAAGCGAACACTGTTTTTTTAATGATGAATGTTAGTAAATGACTTGTGAGATCTAAATTTTATAATAATTTTTTTTTTTTTTTTAGATTTACTAAAGGTGCAGGAAGGGAGAACAAATGAAAATCTTGTAGCTTATTGCCGGAACATTCTGTGTCTTACTGGCTCTGCACTGAAACTTGTAGGGAGCGTAAGACTGTGTTTTGTTCTTTGTGCCGTCGGAATCAAACTGGGTACCTTGTGGTTGTGTTTAAAATCATAGGTGTTTTGAGCCAGAAGGAACTTTGAGATGAAATCCAGCTCTACCACTTCATAGGTAGGGAAATGAAGCTCAGAGGTGGGAAAGGACTGGCACAGCCCTACTCCAGTTGGCAGGGCAGCTGCTTTCCTTACTTGAGCTGGCAGAGGTTTTCACACTTAGCCATACATTGGAATTATTTAGGCTACACCCAGCCCAAATAAATCAGACTCTCTAGGAGTGGGACCCAGGAACTGGTGATTTTTCTTTTTTTTTTTTTGAGACGGAGTCTCACTCTCTCCCAGGCTGGAGTGCAGTGGCGCAGATCTCAGCTCACTGCAACCTCTTCCTCCCAGGTTCAAGTGATTCTCTTGCCTCAGCCTCCCAAACAGCTGGGACTACAGGTGCGTGCCACCACGCCTGGCTAAGTTTTTGTATTTTTAGTAGAGACAAGAGTTTTACCATGTTAGCCAGAATGGTCCCAATCTCCTGACCTCGTGATCCGCCCACCTCGACCTCCCAAAGTGCTGGGATTACAGGTGTGAGCCACGGCAGCCGGCTGGCACTGGTGATTTTTACAGCTCCCTAGGTGACCCCTGTGTGCAGCCAAGGTTGAGAACCACCATGCTAGGAAGGTTTATGTCCCAGAATACTCAGATTAAAGGAAGGTGGAACTTTCCATAGTGTAACACAGAAAGAAGTTACACATGTGTGTCCTGAGATTTGGTCAGGCTCTGAGCAGCCTCGCGATAACCTAAGTATAGTGTAGAATCTCAACTCTGCCACTTACTAGTTGAATGATGTTCAGCAAGTCACTCCACCTTTCTGAACCTGGTGTTTCCATCTGAAAGGAAAATGGTGTTATAATGCCTTCTATCCACAATTGCCATGAAGATTTGAGATAGCAAATATAAAGCACTAGAATAAGGCCTGGCACACTACAGGAATTCAGTCGATGATAGCTATTCTGATTACCCTTAAAGAGAGTTAATTTCGTATTTGTGACATGAATCTCTTACAGTTGTGCAGCAATGCTTTTTAAAGGACAAGAGAAGCCTCCCACTGCCCTCCTGTCGGACTAAACAGGTGCTGGTGTTCTTATTCCTCTCAGGTCCATCTGGGAAGCGGGATTTGGGTTGATGAGGAGAAATGGCACCAGCTACAAGTAACCCAAGGAGATTCCAAGTACACGAAGAACTTGGCAGTTATGATTTGGGGAACAGATGTTCTGAAAAACAGAAGCGTCACAGGAGTCGCCACAAAAAAAAAGAAAGATGCAGTCCCTAAACCACCCCTCTCGCCTCACAAACTAAGCATCGTCAGAGGTAGGTCACTGAGTGGAAACACAATGACTCTGTCAAGAATGTGTTAGGCACAATTCAATTCAATGATGGCTTATGAAGCCTCTGCATGCCAGACCCTGGGCTGAGCCCGGGGATACCAAGCAGATGTCCCAGAGGAGCTCACATTTACCAGGGCAGATGAGCTGTGGACACAAGTATGATTATATGCCACAAGGAATTAGCATGAGAAAGGGACAGATGGCGTGCTAAAGGAGTTCTCAGGTTGGGAGAATACCCTTAGCTGGAAAATCAGGGAAGAATTCCTGGGGACCGGGGTCACTGAACTGAGCCTTGAAGGATACAGCAGACAAGGAGACACAGATATGTATGGTGAGATATTGCACTTCTGGAGGCAGAAGCATCTTGAACAAAGGCATGGAGATGCGAAGGGAATGCTGCCGTGTACCCAGAGCAGGAAAGGTCAAGGCTAGGGGACGCAGTTCTTGGTGGTTCTAGCATTGTGCCTGGAGCAGTTAATGAGATGAAGACCAGCTGGTAGTCACTACATTCAGCTTCCTTTCTGGTATTTGGGACAGGTTGGAGGGCAGGCAAAGAGACAGGGAGTCATTTGTCTCCCTAAAGATAGGGCTGTATCCTGGACTCTGGAATTTTCTCTTTCTCCCTCCCTTTCCCCTTTTCCTTCTTTCCTTTCCTTTTTTCCTTCCTTCCTTCCTCCTTTTTCCTTCCTTCCTTTCCTCCTTCCTCCTCTACTTTCTCTCCTTCCTCCTCTCTTCTTTGTCCTCTCTGTTTTTTCTTTCCTCCCTCTCTCCCACCCTCTCTCCATCCATCCATTCTTTGCCAGGCCCTCTACCGGGTATTGAGGACACAAAGAGGGATAAGACACAGCTTCCATCTGCAAGGAGTTCATAGTCTCACAGGGAAGATAAACACAAAAACAACTAGTTACTCTACAGAAAACACAAACTATAGAGACAAACAATGGTCTAGAGGGAGCACAGAGAATACAGTAGTTGCTAATTATTTTAGGCACTTACTGTGTTTCAGGATTTGGGGGTTTTTGTTAAATGGTTCTCTTTTAAAAAACACTTTTATATATGTTAACTCATTATCCTCATAACAACCCTACTGTTGGCTACTATTATAATTCCTGTTTTACAGACAAGGAAACTGAGACACAGAAATGTTAAGTAACTTGACCAGGTTATACAGCTAGTGGCAGGAAAGCCAGGAACCCGAGCCAGCAGGCTGTCTTCAGAATCTGTGCTCCCAACCACTGACCAGTGTCCAGCTCTGCCATGTTTTCATAAAGAAAGTAAGACTCAGTCAGTCAACACATGTGTTTTCAGCAGACCCTGGGGGCAGACAACAAATACGTCTAGGAACAAGCTCGATAATTTCAGGTACTGTGAGCTTGCTCATATGATGTATATAGGACAGAGAGGGCTACATTCACTGGGGTAGTTGGAGAAGGTTTGTTTAAGGAGGTGACATTTGAGCTGCAATCTGGATGTGGAAGAAGCATCTTTGTAATGATCTGAAGGGTGGCAAATCAGGCAGAATAAGCAGCAGGTATGAAGGCCGGCGTGCTCCGAGTGTGAAGAAGCCCCATGTGGCTGGGATGCAGAAAGAGTGAGCTCAGGGAGGTGGGCGAGAGCCTGTCTCGTAGGGCTGGGAAGGCCACAGTAAGCAGCTTGGATTTGCTAGAGTAGAAGGGCAGTGGAGGTCTTCCAATCACGGAGTGACCACAGGAGAGATGAGTTACAAAGCTGATGCACTGCTCTCGGTGGGAGATGCTGCTGCCATAGACTAAGGGCACAGCAGTGGAGGTGGAGAAATAGGCCCAGGTTTAGGGTGTATTTTGGAGTTCAAGGTGGCAGGACATAGGGTAAGCAACCAGCCTGAGGTAAAAGCTGTAAGGTTTCAGAGCCTAGATTCAAACACACACCCACCGACTCTGGTCTGGGGCTTGTTCTGCTGTAACGTAGCTGCCTCCCTTGCCTGGCTGGCTCTGGATTAATTGATTTAGGCAGCCGCTTATTTTTGGATAATCAGAGGTAACCTTTCATCTGGCTGCTGTCTGAAATGGTAAAGCCTGATTTGGGAGGTCACCCTGAGAAAAAGGCCATCCTGGGGGTGCAGCCCTGCTCTGCCCTGCCTGGTAGGTGACCGACCTCTGATTCTGCTATGCTTGTTGGAATGTGACTCAGGAGGTCCTGGGTGCCTTCAGATAACTGCCTGTTCCTGCCATTATTAGTTTGCATAAAATCATCTGCTGTGTGTCTCCCTCAGGGATCTGGGGGACTGTGTCTGATTCATCTCTGTGGCCTCATTGCCAAACATAGTGTCTGGCACATAGTAGGCACTCAGTAAATGAAGGTTGAACAGAAGAAACACTGAGACCCACAAGCTGATCCCCTGACCAAATTTGGTGTGATTTCTTGTAAATCACTTTCTCTATATGTTTCGAATTTCTTAGCTGAAAACTAAGCTGAAACTGTCTTGCCTCTTAAGACAGTCAGGGCAGCCTAGGACTGTAGCAGTGCAGCAGTGTAGAAGAACACATCTCAGCCATGTGGCTTGGGCCATTACACACTCCTTAGTTTCAACCCCAGCTGGGACTCAGCATCATCTGCCAAGTTGTCTGAGTTTCCCTCCCTGATCTACTGCCTCATTTTCCAAGCGTTTTTAAAATTTTTTTACTTTTTCCAAATACGATAGTTCACATCTATCAAAGAGATAGGCCTTGTCTCTTCTTTCACAGAGGAAAGCAAAGGAATTTCCACAGTTTTGAAGCATCACACCTACAGATTAACTATGTCCTCCATTTTCCTGTCTCCTGTCCCAAAAGAGTTCCTTATTTGGGGCTGGTAATTCTCTCCATCTGGTCTCTGGATTTTAATCCACCTGCCTTCCTAAGTACCTTGTTCCTTCAGTTATGTTCCTGCTCTACTGTTTCCTTCCCAGCATTGTATAAATATATTTGATCACTCATTTCTTACAAAAGCAAAGAAATCCTCCTTGAAGGGCACTCTGTCACCCAGCTGCTGTCATATCTCCCTTCTTTCACATCCAGGCTCCTGGAAAGGCTGGCTACACCCGCTGTCTGTGTTCCCTGTTAATGCCCTTGCCATTTGCCTTCCCCTCCCAGCCTTCTGCTTAATGTGTTTTCACCAAGGTCCCTAGTGACTTCCTCATCACTAAATCGTTGTGTGTTTCTCACACTCTCACTGGCACCGTTTGACACGACCATTCCTCCTTCACTGAGAAACCTGTTCTGCACACTGGGGATTTCTTCCCACCTCTCTGGTTTCTCAGTGTCCTTGATAGGCCCTCTCCTCTGTGTCCAGCCACCTTCTCTCTAGTCCTACCAAGCATTCCTCAGCTTCTCTCTTCACTTCCTATTGTTCCCATTGCCTTCATGTGCCCTTGGCTCTGGGTTGAAATCCGTACTCCTCATCTGTTACAGATAATCTGCCTTTGGGCCTAGTGATCTGCCTTTGGGACGCCTCTGACCTCATCTTGTACCACACTTCCCATTTGCCACCATGCTGCAGCACTGGAGGCCTTCTTCCAGGTCCTTTCTGTTCCTACTCGCTTGCTCCTGATCTGCATGCCCTCCCTCCCTGTCACTGAGAGAGGCCTCCCCAGCCACTCAGTCTAAAGTAGCCTCTCCATTGCTGTCTGTCACATCACGTGCTTTAAGTCTCTGCATAGCATTCCTATTTACTTTTATTACTTGATAATTTTCTTTCTTCTCCCACTTCCATTAGAATTAAACTTTATCAGCATCTTGTTCAGGGCTAGCCTATAGTAAGCGCTCAATAAATATTTGTTGATTCAATGGATGATGACTCCCAAATGTGTATTTGACTCAATTCACACTTCTGATTTCTTGATCTATGTATCAAAGTGCCCACTGGTTATCTCTTCACAGATGTCCACATGGCATTGGCAAAACTGCACTGCTCACTTCTCTTTCTTTCTTCCTCTCCTTCTCTGTGAAGCCTTCGCCTCTTCTGTGTTCCCTGTCTTGGTGAGTAGTACCACCAGCCAGGCACCCAGGCCTCATCCTTGACTCCTCCACATGCCTCACTACCCATCTGTTTGGCCCCAAATCTCTCTTAAACCACTGCCGATCCACTCCCCCATTTTCTAAGCCATTTTAAAGTGTCTCTCCTTTTTCCAAATATGGAGAGAACCATCTGTATCTCTCCATAGTTACTGCCCTTCTCATAGCCCACACTCATTTCTCCCCTCCATTACTCTGGCAGCTTCCAGACTCCTCTCTCCATTATGTAACCAGAGCAATCTTCAGAAACCAGATATCCCTTGACCACCACCCAGTCACAGCCTGTTCAGAATGTTCATTATTAAAGAGTAAGCTTCTTAACATGCCAGAAAAGCACCTTTGTAATCTGGTTCCTGGCTGTATCTCCAGTATTATTTTTCAGCAGTATTCCCCCTGCACTCTAAGTTATTACCATGGTGAACTGCCGTATTCCCTGAGCAAGCCTTGTTCCCCGTCACCTTGGGGAATTTGCAGATAGTTTTCCGGATGCCTGCAACACAGGTTACACTACCTACCTTCCATCTGTGCTGCCTTGCCTGGCTAACTGCTGCTTACCATCCAGATCTGCTTAGGTGAGCCTTCCTTCAGGAAATCATCTCTGACCTTTTAGGGTGGGTCGATGCTTCTGTCATTCATCTCAGAGCACCCAGTGCCTACCTCAGTTCTCTTACTGTATCTTTGCCTCCTAGGGACCTTGTCTAACCCTTATTGCCTATAAATGCTTGCTATGTACATGAATGAGAAGGAAATTGACTTGCCCAAGGCCATACGTCTGATTAGAGACAGCCAAGCTGAACTGGGTTTTCAGGCTACCTACTGTCGCCAGAGTTTTCTTGTATTATTGAAATATAATGTTGATTTTTTTTTTCTTTTTTTACTAGACAGGCAGGTTTGACGTCTGTCTCCTATCCCACGATATAACCACTGTTTTTAGCCTAATTATTTGAGCTATTCCAGATTGCATTTGGCTGGTTCTTCCTGTGCAAGCTGTCTGCTGGATTGAGATTGTTTGTATTTATTTTGTCTGATTTTATCACATGTAGTCACATTTGCCATATAAAAAAATAGAAAAGCCTTTATGCTCACAGAGTTGGTGAGGATTTCTTCTTTTCCTTGATTTTAAAATAATTCCTTACCTGCTAGCAGAGGGATGGGGCAAACATTGATGCTGCTTTGGAAAGATAAAAGCAGGAGAACTGAAGCAGAGTCTTGCTCTAATGACAAGCTCCAGAATGACAGTTAAACCTATTAAGGTCAAATGACCTTTTGTGGAGTGTCTGAGTTTTCTAAATGAGCCTCAGCATTGCGTTCTGGTTAATTTTTATAACTTTTTTAATAGGACACATTAGCACTGTTATAAACCTTGTTAATTAAGCAATAATCTCAAATGCTCCCTCGCAGAGGGAGACATTCCCAGCAACTGCAGGTGATTAATATCTAGAGTCTAACGAAAGCCTTTTAATCAACCTGAGAAGCTGTTCGTTCAGTGCTGTTACCCACAGGAAATGAGAATGATTGAAATTCTATGGGGGCTCCTCCGAAAGCCTTCTTCCATTTGCACCTTTCTCCTTCTACCTCTTCCCTGATTAGTGCTAGGGGCTTCAAGGGCCACCACGCCCACTGTCCTGCCTTCTCCTTCTGTCTCTTTTGCCACTTTACCTGCCATTATTACCTTGCAGACAATTAGAGATTTCAAGCTGGGGGAATCTTCTTAGATTCCCTGGTTTGACACGCTACTTTTGTAGATAGTGAAACAGACCCAGAGAAGTCCCCCCTAGAGGTTGCACAGCATCTAGGGTTAGAATCAGATATGAATATCTCAACTTCTAAGCAGTTCTCATCACAGTTTGTCTCCCTCATTTGGTTCAGGTTCCAACAAAGTCGCTCTGGGTGTTTGTTTTCTCCTGGCCTAGGGGTACAGAGGGTTCTGCCTGAGTGTCCCACTCTGTTGGGGGAGACAATGTGGTTACAGTTTTATTAGATTGTGATTCATGCTTTGACAGAGAGAAAAACCCAGACAGGTGTGGGAGCACAGAGTTCTAGGTAGAATGGGGTCTCCTAATTCAGTCTGATACCAGGTTTCAAGAAGGCTGAATCTGGAAGAATGAGTAGAGCTTAGGCAGGTGAAGGGTAAGAACTTAGGCAGAGATGAGCAGAGTCACTGACAGGTGGAATAGGTTGAAAAGGATGATGAATATAGCAGAGGTGGGACTGGAGAGACAGGGCCTCCTACCTTCTTGTCTCTCAGTCCTTACGGAAAGGACTGAGATGAAAGACAAGATGAAGTGAGGATTAGTCAGGGTTGGGAGTAGTCAGGAAGTGACGGGTAGAGGTCAATTAAAAGCTTTTAAAGGCTTCTCTGTGCAAAACCCTTCTCGGTGGAAAGAAAAAGGTGCCTCAGAAAAAGAACGCTTATGGGAGGTGCACCTGCAGCATGGATGGCAACAGGAGGCAGACTGGCTGGCTCTGTGCCCAGGGAAGGGCTCAGCGTATGGGGAGGTAGCAGTGGATTCTGCCCTATACCTACTCCCTTTCTCCAGGGCTCGGGCTTCTCATATGTTAGTGGAGAGGTTAGCACAAGTTAGTCATCACGATCCCTTCTAGTGTTGACATTCTGCATCTCTGAGACAATTACCTGTTCTGAGCTGGTTTGCTAATGACAAAATTTTGCTTGTTCTCCATAGCAATTCCTCAAGGTTGGATTGCCATTCTGTTTAGTTGAGAAAACTCAGGCTCAAAGAGTCCCCAGGGGGTTTGCCCATTATTACACACTCCCATGGTACATTCACTACCCACACCCTAGTCCTCTTCTGTCCACAATATTTGTATTCCCTTAGGTTTCCCTGGAAAAGCATTTCTTCAGTCATTTCACATATATTTATTTAAGCTTGCCCCTGTGCCAAACACTGTGTTAGGCCCTAGGAATTAATAGTTGTAAATACATAAAATACTCAGAACAACCCCATACAGGTATAGTATTCTTTACAACTTGAAAAAGGCAACATGTTTATCCCACATGCCTCATGGCAGCATTAAAAAAAAAATGCTCTGTAGTTTGTTATCCTTACTTATGAGGTGAGGAATCTAGGGCAATGATTTGCACCAGGTCCCCAGGCTAGGCAGTCAGTTGAAATCAGGCTCCAGCCAGACCTTGTCTGGAGCTGGCTTTTTACTTTATCACAGCAAACGGTGGACTCAGTAAGAGAGTGGCCGTACTGAGCCTCATTAGTAATCACAGCAGTGAGACACTACTTCACACCCACCAGGTTGTCAGAACCTTAATAATGTGACAATGTCAAGTACTATTAAAATGGGGCAACCAGTACTACTTGCATACACTGTTGCTAGGAGTGCCAGTCAGCACAATCACTTTGGAAAACAATTTACCAGGCATCACCTAATAAAGTTGCATATGCACACATCTTAACATTCAGCAAGTCCATGCCTAGGCTGATACTGGAGAATTTCTTGCATGTATTCCCCAGAGGCATGTGCCAGGGTGGTTTTAATTGCAAAACCAAGTATCCATGGATGATACAATGGATAAACAAATTGTGACAGAGCCATACAATAGAACACTACTCATCAGTGAAAATGACCTACAACTACATTTTTCATGAGTAAACCTCAAAACTGTAACATTTGAGTAAAAAAAAAGCAAGTCAGGATGATACATAGAGTGCGCACATTTATAAAAAGATTGAAAATGGAAAAATGAACCATATATTATTTAAGGATATATACATGTGTTAACACTAAAAGAAAAAAAAAAAGCAAAAGTTCAGGAGAATGGTTATCTCTGGTGGAGAGTAAAGAATTAGGGAGGGGCCTCCAGGTGCTTGGGAGGAACCGATAGTATCCTGCCCCACCGAGAGGTGGGCACGTGGCGCTTCATCATTACTTTTAAAGTGTGCATTTACAGTGTATAGCTCCTCTTTTCTAAGTACATTCTATGATGCAAATTTTAAAATATAGCTATGCCAGATACATGAACTGGTATTTGGGATGTATGTTGAGAGGCACATTTTCTTTTACCCTCCTTAAAAGGTTTTTACTCAAATTCACCATTAATCCTTGGCCTTGTTTCTTCTCCCTGTCTAGAGTGTTTGTATGACAGAATAGCACAAGAAACTGTGGATGAAACTGAAATTGCACAGAGACTCTCCAAAGTCAACAAGTACATCTGTGAAAAAATCATGGATATCAATAAATCCTGTAAAAATGAAGAACGAAGGGAAGCAAAATACAATTTGCAATAAACTTTGGATTTTTCATAAAGCTTTTGTGTTTTCCTTGTGTGGCATGTGATTTGCGAGCGATGGTGCCGTCCAAATCAGACCCCACCATGCGTGGTGGTGTGTGGGCAGGAATCCACCGGGTTCTGGGGTCAGCGGCTTGTTCTGAGTGTGGACACTCCAAAGAAGACAGATGGCTTTGCTGAGACTCAGGAGCAGCCTGGCACTGGTGTCCTTCTGGGAATGGGGAAAACACTGTTCTTGGAGGGAGATAACGTTGCCTGAGTTGCCTGTCACTTGACTGGGATTTGAATGGATATTTTTACCATCCAAGGACTTCTCTGTTCCTCTATTTTGTTCTATAATAAAGTTTCATTAATTCTTTGATGTAGATAGTCTTTATCCTCATTTCTTTAGTATATTACATATACAGTGGAGGTGACCAGTGTGTTGTGCCACCTGGCATGCCCTTTCAGGGGAGGAATATTCCGGCTGAAGGAGAGAAAATTCCTAAGAGATATGGTTGCTTTCTACAGATTTGAAGGTCTGTCTCAAAAGCAGATATCTTTCTCTGACTTCAAAGGCCAGATCTTGGACCAGTCACCTTTCTCACTTGAGGTGATCTGAGATTCAGCTTCCCTGATAATTTGAATCAATCTTTGTAAAGGGGTGAAGACAGGGTGATAATGCTAGATGAGCATAGGGTTACATTCAGGAACTAGGGGCACTGTTACCTGGTATCGGTTCTTTCATCCTATCTTGTATCTCAAATGTTCTTTCAAGTTACATAATTTTTTTCTCATTCTTTATTCAGTTACTGAGTCTCTAAGGTGCCTGGCACACATTCTGGCAAACCACATTAGAACTTCCTGTTGATTTGCACTTTGCTTTCTGTAATGCCTGTGAAGTATGCATGGCGTATTAGAAAGGGCAAGGGCTTTGGGCCGATGCGTCTAGATTCCAAGCCTGGCTCCCCTGCCTGCTTTGGGCTTAACCTGTCCTCTCTGAGTTTCCATTTTCTATTTCACGAAAAGGAGATAATACCTACCTTTCAGAGGTGCTACATGGATTAGAGATAACATAAGTGTTCAATAAATGTTAGCAACTGTTACTCATTTTTGATTATTGGCTGTTATCGTTGGTTAGAAAAGTGGCCTCTGGTTTCTCTAATGGTTCATCCATTAATTGGTAGTCTGTAACCAAAAGCTCAGGGTCACTGGAGGAAGTAGGAGAGGTGGCTGCCACTTTGAGAACTTGTATTTTAATTGACTTTCAGTTAACTAAACTTATTCTCAGAGTTCTTATCAGTAATGAGGAGGAAAATAATGCCTACCTCATAGGCCGTGTGGGTAACTTAATAATATTAATAATAACAGATCGTTAATATGTGCCAAGACTTTTCTAAGTGTTTAACATAGTATGTTAACTCATTTCACAGGGTAAGTAAAGTTCCTGACACTTAGTAGATGGATGTTCAATAAATACTTGATAAGATATGTTCATTTAAGGGCATGGGGAAGCTGGGGCATGAGTTGTGTGGAGCGCGTGAGAGGCTGGAAAACAAACTTTGCATCCTTGTTGAGCTCATCCCCTTTTCTCTCTGTGCATAACAAAGATACTAACACCCACTCAGAGGCTCTGCATTTCTCCTTACAGACTGATAAAGTATGGTACCTGCTTTACCAGTGCTTTTAGGTTCGTGGGGGAATAGTTGTGGAAATAACTATAATAAAAATGCTATGGTATATGTGAAAGTGCTTTGTGTAATGTTTGATGCATATATTCAAGAGAACAGGGCAGTTAAAGATTATGGGATCTGGGTTTAAATCCTGGCTTTGCCACTTCCAAGCAGGTCACTTGACCTCTGGGCCTTGTTTCTTCTGGTGTGGAGAGAATGATCCCTAATTCAGGGTTGTTGTGGAGAGTAATCTAGATAATATCTGAAAAATGGGCTCTGTAAATCACAAAGACCCTTGCAGATGTTCATTATTATCCTTAGCATAGAAGGCAGAATGAAATCAGAAGTAGATGCAACAAGGAATCATGCTTATAAGAGCCAATTCTGATGTAATCAGGAGGCTTCACACGCTAATTAGGCTGAGACGGTTTGGCCTCTGTTGTGTACCTGGTGCCTTGTTATTGTAATATGAGGGCAAGATCATCATTCTCACACCCATACAAATGTAGAAATGGGCTCAAAAAAGGTTAAGTAATTTCTTGCTCAAGGTCCTGGAGCTGTCAGCAGTGGACCTGGATCAGAACTCAGGTCTGTGAAAAACCTGCCCTTCTACCTCTTTCCTGAAAGATGAGTGGTAAATTATGGTCTAGGCTGTGAGTCTAGTCACATAGTCTCAGGATATGTTTAGGGGAAACCCAACCTAAGTATTAATCAATGGAAATCAGTCTTATTAATTCAGGCCATTTGGAGGGACTAGGAATGATAGTACTGCTTATAAACATTCACAGTTTTATTACATTCAAATACATATAAAAACTCAAATTCATTTTGTTTGGTAGAGTGTTTCCCAAACTTGCCCAATCTTAAGAATTGGCTGAGGTGCTTAAAATACACATTTCCTGTGCTTTGGCTTGGAGAGCCTGACTGGGTAGGTCTGGGATGAGGCTGGGAATGTGTATTTTAACACAGATGTCAGTTTTGAAAAATACCATTTAAAGGTCATTAGAAGACCTTCATTAAAATGAAGGAATAAGAGTGTTGCCTATGTTAAAAAAAAAAAAAATTGATGGGGAGCCAACAAACTGATGGTCTTTCTAATATGCCTGAGGATACTTGAAATTGAGAGTAGTTATCTTCTTAAGTAACTGAGACTGCCGTAACACCTGTTTAGAATTCCTCTTCATGGCCACCAAATGCTGTTCAGCTGGACACAATGCAGAAGGTGACTTTCTGTCTAGGCTCAAATGATTTTTCCCTCGCTTGTACACTTAGATTCCTTGGATTCTTGTGCCAGGCCAGTGAGTTGTGTAGGAGAGGACTGTCAATACTGAATTGGCAGGACCTAAATCAATGAGGTTTGGCGCTGTCTTCAGAAGCCCCGGCAACAAGTTTTCTGACACCAGATGAAACAGAAAGATGGGGTTTGGCTTTATTTCCTTGCTTAGGAAAGTATATTGGTGACTTTTAGGTGCTTGTATGCTTCCTGCAGGCATTTCTAACTTGCGATTTTTTTTGTAATTATAGTGAAAAACTACTTTATGGAAATTATTGCCAAAAATAGGAAATACCCTCAAAACTGCACTGCTGAAAGCACTTGAATGTATCTCATGTTGTCTTTTTTCAAGGGTGAAAATATGTATTTTCCATACCTGTGATTATAGCACATAGTCAGCTTTTGTATCCTTCCCTTCGCATTTAACATGTTTCACCATTGCTCCATAAAGTTCATAACTATCAGTTCTAACATCCACAAAGTGGACCGACATAAAGCTGCAATTGAGTAAGCCACCTGGTCAGCTGCCCAAGCCCTAACCCACAGATCAGGGGTTTGTGAAGGGCCTGGCTGCACGGTTTTCATCACACACACGGGCAAAGTGAGCTAGAGTTAGGAGGCGGATGCATGCGACTTTAGTTCTCAACTCTAGCACTTAAAACAGACGAGGCAAGTTACTTCGTCTTTCTTAACACCAGCTTCTTCATCTGCAAAATGGAGGAAATAAGGTCTAGTTATAGGGTTATTAGGAGTAATGAGAGTGTAATTAATGTGCACCAGCAAGAGAGGGGCTAAATGGCTGTCAGAGTAAATGTTGGGCTTCCTCTCCTCTCTTCTCTCCCTACACCTGTTCATTCCTCACTGACGTGTGCTCCTCCTAACCTGCTGACCCCGTACGCAGTGACCTAGGCCTTCATACCCACGTTTGGCTCTCTGGACACCTGCTTATCCCATAGTTCTCCGTACATGGGGGGTTTCCCCCACGCATGCTGACTAGCTCACTCCTCGGCTTCCAGCTCCCCTCACCTACCTCAGCCCCTACTCACTGCCACCCAAGGGCCCATTTACAACTTCCTTGGATTTTTAGACTCTTTATAAATAAACCTAGAAGAAGATTTTTCTGTTTCACAATGTTTTCTCTTTATATTTTCCCTCGTTTTCTTAAAAGTGGTTGTACCTGGGTCAAAAGGAATGACATTTTATCACTCTTGATACATATAATGGGTATGACCACTTTTTAAATTATTTTGCCCACTTAATAGGTGAAAAATAGCACCTTGTTATGTTTTATTTTATTATAGTCAAGACTGCAAATCTTCCCAGTTTGGCTACTTCTTTGTAGAAAAGGAAAACTTCTTTAAAACCTCTAAGTAATTTCAGCAGAATCCATTTCATTTTCTGTGTTTAGTTTTCTCATGGACCAATGTGTTAACCTGGGCATATAATTTTTGCCTATATGTCTGCAAATAGACAAACCAATAGATATTTTCACTTCTTTTGAAGTGATTGATCCCTTTCTGCCAGGCAGCTTCATAGGCTCATAGAACCTAAGGATCAAAGATGAACTTTGAGGTTTTCCACCCAAATCTCCCCATTGTAAGCAAATATCATTCCAGACCATGCTTGAATACCTCCAAGCACAAGGAATTCATATTCCTACCCAAGAGTCCATCCAGTTATTGCCATCAGTAAAATATTATTCCATTGAGCTAAAACTCTACCTCCGTGAGACTTTCAAAGTCATTCAAATTCTTCTCTTTCAAGCCACACAGAATGTTTCCACTCACAGCCCTTTGTAGAATTGAAGGTGACTGTCATTTCTTCTCACCAACTAATAAATAGCTCAAATTCTGCTTCACCATTTCTTGTGTGTGGAAGGCTACATGCGAAAGAGTGGGGAGTGTGGATT